AGCTATTGTTGCATAGCAACAGGGATGCTCGCACTTCCGTGGCCATGGAGACTAAAACCTGTCTCCCACACAGCCATTGGCCCAAAGCAACCTCAGGCCTCGCCCCACCCATTTCAACTCTCTGCACAGGGCGGTGTCATCTGCACCTCCTCAGCCCACGCTCTGCCCCCTCCTAGCACTGCACAATGGGGACCTCTGCTGATTTACAGGCCTGGCAGCCTCATATGACTGGGGAGACCAGAGCCTGATTCTCACGCGCAGCCATTTGCTAACCATGCCTTCTGTATACAGCCTCTCAGGAGCCACTTTGGATGCTTCATGTTCACAAGGCAGTGGGGCTGCCACCTAGTGACACTTTGCTTAGGCTTAAGAGGCTGAAGCCAGCTTCTGCAGTCATTAGCTAATTACTTGTCCATAGCAACTCTGGCTAGACCCTGTCTCTCCCACTCCCCACATAGCAACAGGGGCTTCTCCCTAGCAACAGGCTGCTACTTCATCCTATTTGCCACCAGAAATCAGGTCCCACCTTTCATATACAGCCATTGGCCAGCTGCACCTTCCATCTGCAGCCCCCTCAGACTTGGTCTTGAGGAGAGAGCTCAGATTGCTGTCTTCTATTAACTCTTTCACGACCACTGCTTATCTGGTTGGCTCTTGAATTTGCTCATCTGTTATCTAATTCAACATCAATGGTTCTCTTGCCAAATTTAAATCCAGGCCCTTGTTAATATTTCCACCGTTACCCAACTGGTGTGGGTCAGTGGTTGACTGTCGGCCTATGAACTAGGAAGACAGGGGTGGATTCCCAGTCAGGGCACATACCCAGTTGCAGTTTCCCTGGTAGGGGGTGTGCAGGAGACAGGGAACCAATGATTCTCTCTCATCACTGCTGTTTCTATCTCTTTCTCCTTCTCCTTCTCCCTTCCTCTCTAAAATAAATAAAAAATATTATTAAGAAACATTTTCACCAACTCTGGACGAATTTTTTTTTTAAATAAAGATGGCTTACTTCTATGGCTACAGGCTAGAGGCCTCAGCTACTCACTGGCTATTGGCAGGAGTGCTTGGTATATGGGCTTCTGCAAAGTCTGCCTGAGTGCCATTGTACCATAGCAGCTGGCTTCTCCCAGAGTAAGTGCTATGAGGGAGAGAGAGGGGGGGGGGGGAGAGAGGACACCCAAAATGGCCACCAAAGTCTTTCTTTAAAAAAAACAAAAACATAGTCAATTTTATTCTCCTTAAACCACAAAATAGTCTTTGGCTGTACAAACATCACTAGTTACAGTCGTGCTAAGAGGTCCCGGCTGGGGAGGGAGCTGTTAGTCGGTGGCCAGAAGACTTGGGGAAAAGGTGGTGTTAGTGCTGGCAGGGCCTCCACCCTAAGTCCAGGGAAGAGACCCTGGCTCTCTAGGAGGGCAATGGGCCTGGGCCCAGGCCTCCCCCCTTGCCACAGGGGCAGTGGCTGCTGTACAGTGTGATGACCTTGGTGCCCACAGCATCCGGTGAGGGCCTGCCCAGGGGCACCATGGCCACCTCTCTATCCTCCTCCTGCAGGCCAAAGTCTTTCATAATCTAATCTCTTAAGTGACAAACCATCACTTCTTATCTTGAACCTGGTCCTCCATTAACGATTCCATGTCTATATCCTAGAAAAATATTGACATTTCCATAATCAATTTCCCCCGTTTGATCTAAAAATGTCAGTTAATGATTATAGAAAAAATCACTATCTTGTTTTGTAGGCCATAAGCCAAGGCCTATAAGTAGACTTCCACTGTGAATGAACATCTACTTTCAATGGTCTTCAAGTCTAGTGCTTGAACTTGGGCCTCTGTTACTTTATAAACATCATTATCTCTCTGGTTTGAACTTGAAACCAGGCATCTATAACAGAGGTCTGTTTGGGAGGTAGATTCAAAATGACATTGATGATTAAAAGGTAACCAGGGTTAAAACACAAAGAACAGGGACAACAATGAGAGAGAGACAGGGAGAGAGAGAGAGAGAGAGAGAGAGAGAGAGAGAGAGAGAGAGAGAGAGAGAGAGAGAATGAATCAGAGTTGATCTGGCCAGTATGGCTGAGTTGGTTGGAGCATCATCCTGTATACCAAAAGGTGGCCAGTTGGATTCCTGGTCAGGGCACATACCTAGGTCTCAGGTTTCATTCTGGTTGAGGCACGTGCAGGAGACAACCGATCTCTCTCTCTCTTTCTCTCTCTCTCTCTCTCTTTCTCCCTCTCTCTCTCTCTCTCTCTCTCTCTCTCTCTCTCTCTCTCTCTCTCATTAAAAAGAAAGTTAATCATGGTCTAATAGTTGAGATCTAGACCACATAGATATTGATAATGGAAAATTAACATATGCCTAGTCTCTCAATCCATAAAGGACACATATGGTAGAAAAGTTAGCAATAGTTTGTATTAAGCATCAAAATACAGGGATTTTGATAATGGAATCATTAATGGAGGACATGGATCTAGATCAGAAGAAAGAAACATAGGTGTTGTAGAGTTAAAAAGCAAAAGACCCAGGCTTGAGATCAGCCAAGGAAGCATTGGTGATGGAAGTTAACAGAGTCCAGGATTTGAGATGTTGACCAGAAGTCACACAAGAAATTCTGGTAATTTTCATACAAGTGTGTGTGTTATGCAATGTTCTCACATTTGCCATTCTGTCTCCCATTCAATTCACAAATGCTGCAAGGGAGACAGAGAAAATGGAATACTCTGAGAGGCTGTCAGTCTAACTCTCCTGATTGTTGAGCTGAGGCCCAGAAATCTGAATGCCTGCAGGGTACACAGAACCCATACCTAAGTTTATCCAGGGCCTGTTGGGTCTGGTCAGCAGGGGAAATGCCCTCTACCTTTTGTCAGAGAAGGCTTTCTGTTGGAGGATATACGTAGACTAGGTTTTGAAGAATGGGTAGTGCAGGAGTGAAGAACACCCAGAATCTCTCTTCTTTCTCAAGACTCAGTAGCATTTCCTGAATTTGCATACAAGAGAGCTTAAACAGCTGCAGCCTGAATGACATCAGAAGGCAGGGGTATGTCTTGGAGATGCATTTTCATAAAAAATATGCTTATCATGTTTTTTTCTAAATATTTTTCTATTGACAATTTTCTGAAAAATGTTAGTTGTCCATATTGAAGGCTAGTATTATAATTATTTTCCTAGCATCTATTTTTTAATGTATTTTATTGATTTCAAAGAGTAAGGAAGAGGGAGAGAGAGAGAAACATCCAGGATGAGAGAGAATCACGCATCAGCTGCTTCCTGCACACCCTCTACCGGGGAGTGCCCCCAGCCCTGGCCTCTGCCCTTGACCAGGATCAAATATGGGACCCTTCAGTCCACAAGCTTATGCTCTACCCACTGAGCCAAACCAGCTAGGGCTCCTAGCTACTATTTTAGTGGGGGTAATGGAGGGAATGAAGTCTGAGGGGGATTCAAGTCTCTTCCATACTAATTACTTCACTTCCCTGCACTCCGCCCACCCAGACATCAAGAGGAGACTGTATGGGGAGGGGGTCAACTGGGGGAAAGGAGACTTATGTAAAACTTTAGACAATAAAAAAAAGAGGAAACTGTACCACCCTGACAGTCCTCACCCCTGTTCTGTGGCATCGCCCAGCAGGGGACTTGCTTTAGCCTGACTCTTCCTCCTTTTATTGGTGTTATCTCCAAGATGCAGATTGAACCACCCTGATTCTTCCCTCTCTTGCCCAGTGGTATCAGCCAGGAGGAGGACTGTACCATCCCAACTCCTCCTTTCACCTAGTGACATCTTCCAGGAAGAAACTGTAATCATGACTTCACCCCCCCCTCCCAGTGGTATCTCCTTTCAACATCTGGAAACATCTCCCTCCCCCCAAGGATGGGGGGCTGCCCCCTCTGCTTCTGTAAACTTTGCACAGACCTTTAGAACCCAGTTCCAATGATCAGTTGCTCAAGGAAACTCACACTGAGAAGGTTTCTATCCATGAACAACGCCCGCCGCTTTCCCCCTTTGTGGAACAGCCCTTTGTACGGAATAGATTCCCGCATGGCGTCCCTTGTGAACAGACGTATGGGCGCAGCCATGTTCCTCGCCCTCCAACGTCACTCAGGGACACAGTCTGGGTGGATCCAGAACTGCACCTGGTTCAGAGTGAGTAGACCACAGCCACAGCCCTTAAGATCGTGTACAAAACCAACAGTCCCACAAAGGGTAGTGGCAGGAGTGATGACAGGAAGGATAGTGCCCCCCAGAGGCTGTTAAGTCTTGGTGGAGCGCAGCGCTAACGTGAGTGCACGAGTTTGTGATTTGACAGTCATTGAGGTGATTCTGAGGTGGTGGCTTTTGTTAGCTTTTGGGAATGATAGATACATTGTCAGTCAGTCAATTGGTGGGGAATTAAAGAATCTAGTAAAAGGGAGTCTATGCAGCACAGGGATGGGGTTTTCTGGGTTTGCTAGTTTTTAGACTCCTTGCTGTGTCTTGTTGCCAGGTCTTAATAATAATAAATAGTGTGTCTGTTTGGATTTGTTCTTCATAAGTCTCCCCAGAAGTTTGCTAATTTTATTAGTCTTTCCAAAGAACCAACCTTTGGCCCTGTTGATCCTCTCTATTTGTTTTCTATTTCCTTAACTTCTGCTCTAACCTGTACTATGTTCTCTTTATCTAACTTCTTAAATTAGACATTAATTTATTAATATTCAATCTTTGTGAAAAAATATATTTAAGAACATAAATTTCCTGCCGAAACCGGTTTGGCTCAATGGATAGAGCGTCGGCTTGGGGACTGAAGGGTCCCGGGTTCGATTCCGGTCAAGGGCATGTACCTTGGTTGCGGGCATATCCCCAGTAGGGGGTGTGCAGGAGGCAGCTGATCGATGACTCTCTCTCATCGATGTTTCTAACTCTATGTCTCTCCCTTCCTCTCTGTAAAAAATCAATAAAATATATATAAAAAATAAAATAATACAATAAGCAATAATGTAAGAATAAATTGTGTTTTGCATATTCACAACTGTACACTACATATATAAGGCTTTTCTCCTGTGTGAATTCTTCCATGCACATGGAGTTGTGACTTCTTAGTGAATGTCTTCCCACAGTCACTGCATTCATAAGGCTTCTCCCCGGTGTGAATTCTCTGGTGTGTATTGAAATGTGATTTCTGGATGAAGGCCTTCCCACATTCAGTGCATACATAGGGTTTCTCTCCTGTGTCAATTCTTTGATGCATCCTGAGTGCTGATTTTCTTGTGAAGGCTTTTCCACATACACTGCATGCATAGAGTTTCTCTCCAGTATGAGTTTTCTGATGTATATTGAGGTCTGAATTCTGGGAAAAGCCTCTTCCACATTCGCTGCATTCATAAGGTTTCTCTCCTGTATGAATTCGCATATGTCTAAAGAGATATGATCTGTGGAAAAAGGCCTTTCCACACTCACTGCATTTGTAGGGTTTCTGCCCAGTATGAATTTTCTGATGTGTAATGAGGTTTGACTTGAGAGTAAAAGCCTTCCCACATTGAGTGCCTATACATGGTTTTTCTCTTGTATAAACACACTGAGCTACATCAATTTGGGGCTTCTGAGTGAAGACTTTCTCACTGTTGTTGCATTCATGGGCTTTTTCTCCAGCATGAATTTTCTGATGTTCAAAGAGATCTGGTTTCTGGGTGAAATTCTTTACATACTTAGTACATACATAACGTTTCCCCCAAGTATGAATTTTCTGATGGTGGATGAGAGCTTGCTTGTGGCCAAGATGTTTTCCACATTGATTATGTTCACAAGCATTTGCTCCTGTATTATTAGCATTCTCATTTTTAGTACAGGAAAAGCTATGGGCAAAATTGTTGCCATTTCCAAAAATCTTGTCAAGATTCAATGTTGCATTGCTTTTATTATGATTATGCAAGTTTGAAGTATTCTTCAAACTCTTTCCAAATATGTCACAGTTATGGAGTATTTTAATTGAAGGAACAAGTTTGGTACTCACATGAATTATTTTTTCAATATTTTTACATTCATAGCCCCTCTCTTTAATGAATACTTTCACATGACTTATAGGGTTATTTTGGTTTTCCTGAAATCTCACTAGCTGGTCATTATCTTGCCACAATTCTTCTAAAATGGAACACAATGAATCATCTTCTATGGTTTGACCAAATTTCTCATAGTGGAATGAAACTTCTCCAGAAATTCTCTGTTGTTGGGTTTTCCCAATATTCTTATCTAAAAAGAAAAAGAAAAAATGAAAATAACTCAAAGAACAATTAGTAGAGGATAGCGGGTATGTATAATTCAGATAGGATGAACACAAAGTTCATTTGACAATATTGAAAATAGTAATAATGTAGTAATATAAAATTCTTATAGGACATTCACTATATGAAAAACTATATCTAATATTTGTGGTGAACTGTGCACCACTGTTCCAAGTGCTTTACTTAAAACAGCTCATTTAATCCTCACTGAACTTTAAAGTGGTAGCTATCATTATCCGTCATGTTTCACAGATAAGACAAGAGAAACACAGAGAAGTTATATACCTTGCTAAAGATCAAATAGCTTAATAAGTGAAAGAGATGGGATTTGAAAACTGGGAACCCATATTCACTAGTAGGAGGTCTGGACAATGAGTAGAGAAACCAGAAGAAGAAACTGAAGTCTCTTAAAAGGAAGCCTGACATACAACAAATATTTCAGATTGTATGTTCTTATCATATATCAACTTTAAAACCTTACTAATCTCTCTGATTCTTCTTGCTTTTCTCTCTGAACCATTATAAGCATCAATATTAAATTGTTATTGCATTCATAGGATTTATAATTTATAGATATAAATTCCTTTATATCTATGGGAAAAACTCTTACAACACCAGCCATCTTGACATAGACAAACAGTAAATAGGTATCTGTGCTCCAACTCGGTAGCCAGCTACAAATTTTCCCGGTGGAAACTGGAAGGTGGCTGGTGGCCGTCAAGTGGGAGTCATGATGATGCTAAATGTGGTGAAGATTTTCTTTTTTAAAAATATGTTTTTATTGATTTCAGAGAGGAAGGGAGGGCGAGAGACAGAAACATCAATGATGAGAGAGAATCATGGATCAGCAGCCTCCTGCATACCCCTCACTGGGGATCGAGCCCACAACCTGGGCATGTACTCTGACTGGGAGTTGAACCATGATCTCCTGATTCATAGGTTGATGCTCAACCACGAGCCATGCCAAGCTGGGATGAATATATGCTTTTAACACGTATAAAATGAGAGGGAAAGCCATCTATGGCAGAAACTTCAAGCCATCCACTAAAATCTATTTACCTCTCCTTTTATAGGAACAAATGCAGCTGAGCATTATACTGACCAGGTTCACTTTGTTCTCACCAGTATATCTTCACAGCCTTTGAAAGGTACCAACCTCTCCTACAAAAGTGAGATTTACTTCCATGTTCCTTCAACTGTATGGATTACACTTACTCACCTGAGCAGCTCTGATGTGGGGTTTCCCCCTCCAATGTCCACGGTCCCTCGCCTTGCTCCAGCTTGAAGATGACCTCTAGTTTGGGAACTTGGTACCCTGTGAATACAAATGATAAATATTGGGTCCAGTTAAATGGGTTTCAGGGACTTTTAAATGGTACTTCCATTTGTTCTTCAGAAAAGTAATCACATTTCACTGGGAATAGAGTAATAGCAATAATGCTCAAAACAGACTAAAGAATCTGGATAAATAAAAAATGACATCATTACACACTTGAGATGCCCCAGAGCACTCAGCAGCTGAGAATTGAAATAGCCTCACTGAGGCCCCTGGCAGACACATAGGTCGGCTGTACTTACCCACTGAGAGCAGGTGGCTGTAGTTCTCCAGTGTCACATCCCGGTACAGGCGTCTCTGAGCAGGGTCCAAGTACTGCCATTCATCTCTGCTGAAGTCCACAGTCACATCCTCGAATGACAATAAGACCTGTAATAACACAATCCTGTTCAAAACATGGTCAGCATGGGAGGAGGGATAGAGGGAAGATAAATAGGAAGTTGTTTTTCATGACTTTTACCATAATTATCGTGTAGGATTTTCACTCAGTATCTAGTTTTGCATTTTATTTTGTGAGAGAAAAAGCTTATTGAAGTAGCTTGACATTCATTGTGTACTACATTCATTCATTTATTCGAATATTTAGTGATTTTTTTTTCAAAATGAGGGTCAAGATAGATTCTCTTTTTAAAAAAATGTATTTTATTGATTTTTTACAGAGAGGAAGGGAGAGGGATAGAGAGTTAGAAACATCAATGAGAGAGAAACATTGATCAGCTGCCTCCTGCACACTCCCTACTGGAGGTGTGTCCGCAACCAAGGTACATGCCCTTGACTGGAATTGAACCTGAGACCCTTCAGTCCACAAGCCAACACTTAATCCACTGAGCTAAACTGGTTAGGGCAAGATAGATTCTCTTTAAGTCCTCTAATGTAGGAACTAGATACAATACATTTACTGATAAATTCTGTGCTAGGCAATGACAATAGAGTTGAGTAAGATAGAACAAATTAAAGACTTGGACACCAATATAGGACACAAAGGGTGCTACAAGGCATTTGGAAGAAATGCATGGCCATACCGGGTTTGGCTCCGTGGATAGAGTATTGGTCTGTGGACTGAAGGGTTCAATTCTGGCCAAGGGCACATTCTGGGTTGCAGGCTCAATTCCCAATTGGGGACGGGGGTGGAGGAGGCAGCAGATCAATGATTCTCTCTCATCATTTATGTTTCTATCTCTCCCTCTTGCTTCCTCTCTGAAATTTATATATTGGCAGCCCAGAATGCCAATTATCACAAAAACTGCCCCGAGAAAGACTGCTCTCTCTAACCAAAGTCCCAGGAAACGGGGCAATGGAGCAGGAGATAAATTTTTCATATTATTATAACTACTCTACTCCAACCAAGCATCATAGGAAAAACGGGCCCCACCACCATTCCCATCAGCAAAGGCTGAGTGGGGAGCCTCGATTTTCACCCTTTCCTGAGGGTACGGAAGCTTCTTCTCCATAACGTCAATTTAGGCTAAGTGGGGATGTTGGATTTCCATCCCCACCCAGTAAGGAGGTGCCCTTCTGCCTCTCCACCTGGCAGAGAGCCTGGTATTCCATCCCCACCCAGCAGCAGCAAGGTGCTCATTCCCTTCTGGGATGTCAGAAGGCCTCGTGGGAAATCTGAACTTCCGCCTCCATCAGCATTAGGAGGAGATTCTCCTTTTCTAGCAGAATAGAGTCAGAGGGGCCTGGTAAACACAAGATTGAGGTAATATCTAGGTAATACTTCCCAAAATATCCAGGACATAATTGAAAATCAGGCACCAATGTGAAGAAGCAGAACAACCTCAACTTGAACAAGAGAAGTCAATCAATAGACACAAACACGGAGATGACACAGATGTTAGAATTATCTGACACGATTTTGAAAGTAGCCATCCTAAAAATGCTTCCATATACTTAAAATAAATGCAAAAATAGAATGTCTCAGCATAAAAATATCTACACTAATAAAAGAGAAACATGCAAATTACCATCACTCCACTACACCCAACAGCCAATCAGAGGAATATGCAAATTAAACTGAAACCATCTTGGCAGCCCTGCCCCCCCAGCTGCTCCGGGCCTGTGAGAGTCAGAGAAGTCAGGCGCCAGCAGAGACCAAAATTCCACCTGCCCTGTGATCCCAGGCCACAGCCAGCCTCAGAAGCCTCGTGTCCACCTGCCCTACGTCCTGGGGGAGACTGAGAAGCCGGTCCCCAACACCTGAGGCTGGGTGCGGCCTGGGAGACAAAGAAGCCGCCTGCCCCATAATCCCAGGCCACAGCCAGCTGAAGAAGCCACCCACCCCACATCCTGGGGGAGACAAGAACCGGGGTACCAGTGCCTGAGGCTGGCTGCAGCCCAGGAGATGAAGAAGCCACCTGCCCTGTGACCCCAGGCCACAGCCAGCAGGAGAAGTTGCCCCCACTGAATCCGAGGGAAGATGGAGAAGCTGCCCGCCTGCAGTCTAGGCACCAGCACCTGCAGCTGGCTAAGCCTGGTAGACGGAGAAGCCACCCACCCCGGAGTCCTGGGCACCAATACTTTGTAGCTGCAGCACAGGTGAAGACAACTTCCCACAATCCCCTGAGGCTGCAGCCGGCCTGGGCACCTATGGCTGACCAGAGGGAGGGAAGCCGGGATCCCAGGTGCCTGTGGTTAGCTGGAGGAGGGAATCCTGGGTCCCGGGTGTGGAGCCAAGGCAGAGGTGGTTAGAGGCAATCAAGCCAGCAGGGGAGCAGTTAGAGATGATCAGGCTGACAGGCAGAAGCAGTTAGGGGCAATCAGGCAGGCAGGCAAGTGGTTAGGAGTCAGCAGTTCTGGATTGTGAGAGGGATGTTCGACTGCCAGTTATCCCACAAGGGGTCCCAGATTGGAGAGGATACAGACCAGGCCGAGCGACACCCTCTGTGCTGCTGCCCCTATGCACAAATTTTGTGCACTGGGCCTCTAGTAAGATATAAAAGAGAACTGAATGGCCCTAGCCGGTTTGGCTCAGTGAATAAAGCATCGGCCTGCGGACCGAAGGTTCCTGGGTTCTATTCTGGTCAAGGGCATGTACCTTATTGCAGGCTCCTTCCAAGACCGGGCCCTGATCAAGGTATGTGCAGGAGACAACCAATCAATGTATTTCTCTCACATCGATGTTTCTCTCTGTCTTTACCTCTCTATTCCACACTCTCTAAAAATTAATGGAAAAATAATCCTTGGGTTAGGGTTAAGAAAAATTAAAAAACAAAGACAAAAGAGAACTGAATAGAAATTTTAGAACTGAAAAAAATACAATAATCAAAATTTAAAGACTCAGTGCATGAGCCTGATAGCAGAATAGAGAGGGCAAAGTAAAGAATCAGAGAAGCTGACAATAGGAAAGTAAAAATAGTTCAATCCGAAAAACAGAAGGAAAATTGACTGGAAAAATGAGCAGGGTTTCAGGGACCTGTGAGACAATAACCAAAAATCTGGCATTCATGTTTGTCAGAATTCCAGAAGTAGAGGAGAAAGAGTTTGGGGCTGAAAAGGTATGACTCAAAATTTACCATAATTTCAGTGACCTGGGCAAAAAGATTTACATATGTGTAGAAATTTCACTACCGCACTTTTAATCACAACAGAGAGCCTGAAACACTTTAAATACATATTTAGTAGACTGGTTAAATTAATTATAGTTTATCCAAAAGACATAATGCTATGCATCATGTGTATATGAAGAAAAATACGTATTGCCTAGAAAATTATGTTAAATTTCCAAGTTAAAATGGAGGCAACCAAATACTATATAAACTGGAGTTATAGAATGTACATGTGTATGGTATGTATGCACAATCACAGACCCACACATATACCCCCACACATGCACTCATGCACATGCAAAGGGGAAAACCGCTGAAAGGGAATAGAGCTATATGTTAACACTGGCTAATTAGGGGTATAATGCTGAATTTACAAATAATATTTTATTCTCTTGCAGTTGCTTACCTGAATTTTCTAACATTTTGTTGTCAAATCATGAAATAATTTTTAAAAATATTAACCTAATTATCACATGCCCTTGAGCTTCTGTGACAATGAGCCTATCCCATAGGTGACAGCGTCCACAGGACAGTCTGAAGGAGGGGGCTGTCTGGTAGGGTCTGGCTCTGTCATCGTCTTCCTCTGTTTACAGAACCTCCAGGGGAACTTTTGGTGGGATACTTGGTCTGGGCTGCAGTGTGGCGAGGGGGGAAGGCATGCTCTGGAGACTGGGTTGCAGTCAAGTCCCTTTTCAGGCCATTTTGTTCATCTTTGAAAGAAGAAAGAACTAAAAAGGCCCTGGAGACTGTGGTCACCCTGCTACCGAAAGAAAAGGGATTTTCTGCCTTAGATCAGGAGAGAGGAGAAATCAGCAAATCCTCAGAGACCAGAGGAAAATGGGGCTCTAGTGGGGACTGACTGAGCTCTGCAAAGAGCCAGTGGAGAGTGAAGGGTCTGTGCTAGGAGCCAGGATGTAAGGTCTCCTGGCTAGGGCCTGTAGACACCCTGCAGGGAACTGCCTGTCCCCTCCTGGTGTGGTGCTGACTCTCCTGTCCCACCTTTCCTCCATCAGACACATCAATTTTCCTCACATTTTCCTCTGGGTATGGGACATGGCCATGTGGTGTTCACACAGCAGGAGGATAGTGATCTGTTTTAGGGGCAACCATTCTGGAATCTGATGTCCCTGTAACCCACCTGCCCCTGCCCTGAGGTCCTGGTGACAGGTCGGCAGTATCTCTTTGCTGAATGAATTCCTGCTCCCTTCTCACCTCACACAACCTGCCATGTTCCGCTGCAGCCTGGGACAAAGTCCACTGGGGAGAGCTCTGGTTGGCTGGCATGTTCCTGCTGAGCCTCAGCACTCTAGCACTCTTGCTGACAACTCCACTCTTCCCAGGAGCCTAGGGCCAGGCAGGGTCTGTGGGCTCAACCAGAGCTTCTGGGACCAGCAGGAATACCTTACAGCCTTCACCCTGGAGATGAAGGTCCAGGAGATCCAAGGAGATGCCAAGAAACCTGGAAAGACAGTGTCCACATGGTCAGTCATTCACATTCACCCCAGACATGCTTGCACCAAGGGATGGTTCACTGTGCTGGACATTGTGGAAGAGAAAAGTTCAGTAAAACCAACACCAAAGATTAGTGTAGAATATGGGAAAAACTCATGAGGTTTGTTGTAAAAGAAATGAGGATTTGAATTCCAACTCTGGGGAAGTCACTTTTGCCTGAGTTTCATCTTAAGACAGGATAAAAATATTTGTCTCATATGGTTGTTATATAAGTGAGGCTTCTAAAGTACTCACTTTTAGCACCTAGAATGCAACACCATTCATTAAATAGTACTATTATTACATGCCAGTCATATTTTACTAGTTACTTCATTTAATGTTTACACTCATCCTATGAACTATTATTATTATTACCATTTACCATGAGATAGAGCCATTCAGAGATACTAAGAAATTTGCTCCAAGATCATTCAGATTAGGGGGAAGGACATAAACTCAGGTATACCTGGCTCCGAAGTGCATTTTCTTAACTACTGTGCCATAAGGTATCTACACTAATAAAAGAGTAAGATGCAAATTGACTTCATGACACCCACAAGCCAATCAGGAGTTAGTATGCAAATTAACCCAACAAATATGGTGGGTTAATTTGCATATGCAGGTGCCATAAGGCTGGGGGTGGGGCGGAACTCTTGCATCATCACCATGGTGACTTCATGGGCATTCCACATCACCCCAGCCGCTCCAGGTCTCTGGGCAGCATGGGAAGGTGGAAAGACGGCTTCAGGCTGGAGCAAAGTCAGAAAAGTGGCTGAGGTCAGAGTGAAGGTGGTGCCAGCAGCCAGGGGAAGGATGGCGCATTCTTGCACGAATCTTCATGCATTGGGCCTCTAGTTTTATATAAGGCACAGTCACAATAAACATTAGTTCTGTTTCCTGCTGCTTTCATAGTGCTTCAGCTGAGAGGTGACCATGTCACATGTGCATAAACCAATCTTCTGTTTAATTCAATGTACATCATGAGCAACTTGTAGAGCCCACACTCTTAAGCCAAAGATGAAAATGGAAATTCATTGCCTGTCCTGCTCCCTCCAATTCCCATCTGGGCTTTGAAAACCAGCATGTCTGCACAGGCTTCTAAATCATTAACTGACACTGTCTTTCAGAACTACTATGTCCCAAAGGTGCTATCAACTGGTTTTCATAGAAAAGCAACCAAGGATCTGCTTAAGGTTCCTTGGGGGTCAAACCTGACTGCTTAGAGGACCCTGTAATTCACAGCCCATATAAAGAATCAGTGACTCCCATAAACTCCTCAATAATAGACCTTCCGGTCCCTCATTTCTCAATTCCCACAGTCCTGCAATTACTGATGTCCACAGGTGCAAGTCAACGACTCTTTAGGGCCCCAAAATCTCACTCCCAAAGACTGGTAATCCCAGGTGAATCAATAATTCAGCACCTCAGTGTCCCAGCCAATAACTCTCATGGCCCAATGAGCAGTTAATTGAGTTAGAAAGGGATATTCATTAAGTGATGGGTGCTGGCAAATTTTCCATCCAAATGGAAAACACAAACATTGATCCCATCTCACACCCCACACCAGAATAACTTCCAGTTGCATTAAAATTTAACTTTAAAAATTAAAACCATAACCTTACTGGTTTGGCTCAGTGGATAGAGCATTGGCCTTCGGACTGAAGGGTCCCAGGTTCGAGTCCGGTCAAGAGCATGTACCTTGGTTGCGGGCACATCCTCAGTAGGGGATGTGCAGGAGGCAGCTGATAGATGTTTCTAACTCTCTATCCCTCTCCCTTCCTCTCTGTAAAAAATCAATAAAATATATTTTTTAAAAATTAAAACCGTAGCTCTGGCTGGTTTGGCTCCGTGGATAGAGCATCATCAGCCTGCAGATTGAAGGGTCCTAGATTCAATTCCAGTCAAGGTTTCGGGCTTGATCCCCAGGAGGGGGCATGCAGGAGGCAGCCAATCAATGATTCATTCTCATCATTGATGTTTCTATCCCTTCCTCTCTGAAGTCAACACAAATATTTAAAATTAAAAAAATTAAAACCATAGCCTAGCTGGTGTGGCTCAGCATTTGAGCATTGACCCAGGAACCAGGAGGTTATGGTTCGATTCAGGTCAGATGCCTAGGTTGTGGGCTCTGTCTCCAGTAGGGAGTGTGCAGGAGGCAGCTGATCCATGTTCCTTTCTCGTGGATGTTTCTAACTCTCTATCCCTCTCCTTTCCTTTCTGTAAAAAAATCAATAAAATATATTTTAAAAAAAGAAAAGAAATAATTAAATGAAGGACAGACAACAAAGATACAGGAGGACCAACGAAGTCAAAGTAGGTCCTCTCACTCTGCACACCTCCTAAGTGACCTCAGGGAGGCCCCATCACTCACCCTACAGGGTACCATCACGGAGGACCCAATTCAGGTGATAAAACGCAACGAATCACGTGACTGCTTTCCTGGCCCTTAGTCGCCAAACCTGTTCAACTCAGGCCAGGAGCCCTACAAAGTGCCCTGGAGGGCCGAAACCGGTTTGGCTCAATGAATAGAGCGACAGCTTGGGGACTGAAGGGTCCCGGGTTCGATGGGTTCGATGGGTTCGATGGGTTCGATGGGTTCGATGGGTTCGATGCCGGTCAGGGGCATGTTCCTTGGTTGCGGGCACATCCCCAGTAGGGGGTCTGCAAGAGGCAACTGATAGATGACTCTCTCTCATCGATGTTTCTAGCTCTCTATCTCTCTCCCTTCCTGTCTGTACAAAATCAATAAAAAATATATATATTTTTTAAAAGTGCCCTGGAGGGACTCTTTCATCCTGCACATGCTCAGCGTCGCCTGGGAAGTGATCTGCAGTCACACCGGGTGCACTCGCGACATCTCAGTGTGTGTGTGTGGGTGGGGGGAGTAGAGGGGACTCTCCCCTTTGCTTTAGTGACTGTTGTCAGGCAGCTGACATTGTGTCCCTTGGGGAATCTCTCTCTGGGATTCACCATCTTGGAAGGGTGGTCATTTCTGTCTTGGAGCCTGCGGTCCCCAGCCCGATCTCTCCCTCCCCCTCCCCCTCTCCTCCTCCCCGCGTGGTACTTTCCGGGAGCCAAAGGGGCAGGATCTCGGGATGTGCCACTGGACTTCTCCCCGGTATTGTCCCCAGCGATCACCGAGGCTCAGCCCGGGCGCTGTGCCCTCCAGCACGCAGGTGCTGGCACTCAGCTGTATCCCCCAAAACAGCCAGTCCCCGCCTGCATGCCAGCTGCAAATACCCCTCTGAGCAGCCCGGGAAATGGCCTGGCCCAGCCCCTTCTGCCCCCCAAGGGACCGAACGATCCCCATTTGGCGCACAGAACCCAGGGCGCCGCTTCGTGCCCACCTGAAGGAGCCTCGGTCCACCCGCCGCCTGGGGGCATCGCCCGATCCTGGGCTGTCACCCGCCCTGGTCGCTGTCACGGGGGAGCGGTACGTGTCAGGGTTAGGCCAGGAAGCAGAAGTCATCCGCGGCGGGAGTGGAGCCACTCGGGGCGGGGAGCTCAAGTGATGGAGCGCGAGGCACCCAGCATCTGTGCGAGGAGCACCTGGGGGCCCTGATGCCCGTCCTGGGCCATGTCACCACTTTTAAAACCGGTTAACAGACCTTTCTGCTTCCTATGTAAACATGAAGGCTCAAGTTCTGCTAGTAAGGATCCACGTTTTGATGTCTTGTCGTTAGTGCTCAATTTCAAGTGCTCATTTATAGCTTTCTTTTCCTTCTGACCCAGGAATTATCTAGAAGTCCATTGTCGAACTTGCAAACATGCTGCGAGCCCTGGCTGGTTCGCTCAATGGTTAGAACGTTGCCACCACGCAAGGGTCTAGAGTTTGATTCTGATTGTAGGCGCCATCCCTGGCCCCAGTCAGGGCGCCAGTGTGAGGCAACCAATCGATGTGTCTCTCTCACATCCATCTCTCTCTCTCTCTCTCTCTCTCTCTCTCTCTCTCTCTCTCTCTGTCTCTGTCTCTCTACCCGCCCCCCTCCCCGCCCTTCCACTCTCTGTAAAAATCAGTGGAAAGAATGTATCCTTGGGTGAGGATTAACAACAACCACAAAATGCCTTGAGACCAAGGGGCAAGGGCATGGGTACCTTGTTCAGATGGTGCGGCAGAGAAAGCAGCCCCAGCAGTGCCCCCTGGAGCATGGGGAGGAGCTTTATGGGGGCGGGAACAAGAGCACCCCAAGTGCCAGCTGCATCGCAGGGGGCTTTGATCCGCAGGTGTTTGAAAGCAGCCGGAAGGAGCAGTTGACGATTTGGGCCACCTCAGTCCGCAGCATCCTGTTCTCAGAACTAATGACTCAGAAAGAATGAAGGGGGATGCAGAATATTTTACAGTCCCTCACACTGTTCTCCATTTCCCCAAACACCAAGTGAATCGGATGTTCGTGACTGCTGTCCTGATTGGCTGCAGTCCGGACATGTCTGAAATGTCTTGAAACTTGCCTTAAGGCTTAAGTACAGAGACATGGGTACATGGGCAGACTGTCCATTGTCAGAGGGGTGTGGGGAGGGAGAGGCTGGATGAAAGAAGGCGAACGGGTTAGTCAAAGAACATATATGCATAACCATAGGCACAGACAACAGAGTGGTGATGGCAAAAGGGCAGGGGGGACCAGGGCTGAGTGGAAGTGGGCAAAGAGTGAAGTGGGGACATCCATAATTGTATCAACAATAAAAATGAGGTTAAAAAAAAATCAATGACCTAACTGGTTTGGCTCAGTGGATAGAGCATCGGCCTGCAGACTGAAGGGTCCCAGGTTCGATTCCGGTCAAGGGAATGTACATTGGTTGCAGGCACATTCCCAGTGCAGAGCGTGCAGGATGCAGCTGATCAATGTTTCTCTCCCATCGATGTTTCTGACTCTATCCCTCTCCTTTCCTCTCTGTAAAAAAATCAATAAAATATATTAAAAACAAAACAAAACAAAATAATTAAAAACAAAAACAAAAAAAACCATGGACCCAATTTTCAAAAATGTGTCATCTCTTGATTGAAAACATTGGGTACCCATGGACACAGATAATAATGTGAGGAAGCCCTAGGGGGGTGGGGACAGGGTGGAGGGAGGCAAATTGGGGGATTATGGGGGAAAATAGAGTCACCAATAAAAATATTTTAAAAAGAAAAGACTGAATTTTCCAGTTGTTGTGTTAGGCATCTGTGTTTATTGGTTCACAAGCTTGTTCGTGGGCCCTTGAAAATGTGTATCTCCTTCCTGATTATGTTCTTCTGCTTTCCCCATGAGCCACTGAGCAAAGAGAGAGGTTCTCCTACTGGATTGTTGATAAGTCAGGTGTTCACAGCACCAATTTGTCCTTCTTATATTTTGAACTTTTATTATTATTATTTTTTAAATATATTTTATTGATATTTTACAGAGAGGAGGAAGGGAGAGAGAGAGCTAGAAACGTCGATGAGAGAGAAACATCGACCAGCTGCCTCTTGCACACCCCCTACCCGGGATGTGCCCGCAACCAACGTACATGCCCCTGACCGGAATCGAACCTGGGACCCTTCAGTCCGCAGACCAACACTCTACCACTGAGCCAAACCGGTCTCGGCTGAACTTTTATTATTAAATGCAGGTAAGGGTATTTTGTTGTTGAATAGATACAGCCAAATCACTCCCCAAAAGACATGTCCTTCTCTCACCAGCAAAATATGAACTCATTGAGGCAAATCCCCACCAGTGGATGTCCATGCTCTCTTTAACCTTTGCTAAGGGCTAGTAGCATTGAACTGCTTTAATGTGCATTTTCCCAACTACTTGTGCAACTGAGGATATTTTTCTGTTTGTTGGCCATTTCCATTTTGACTTCTGCCAGTCTTCAAATTCTTTGTCCAATTGTCTTTGGAATGATTTGTCTTTTCTTATCAATCTGTAGACTCTCTTTGTAAAGTATGGTTATTAACCCTTTGCTGCATTGCAATAATTCCCTCCTAACTCTTTTTGTCTGCATTTCATGTGTCCTTTGATCTATAATTAGGAAAATGTATTCTCTCATCAGAAAATCTAAGCTTTCTTTTCTGGCTTCTGTATCTCCTGTCTTGCATGATATTCCTTCCCCATTCCAGGTAGTCCTAAAAGGTCATCTTTTTTTTTTTTTTAAGGATGGATGCAGGGGAGATAGAAAATGGCGGAAGAATAGATAGACAGATTCTGAGGATGGATGCAATAAAAGTTCATTTTCATAAGTATCACCTAGTTTACCTATAGCCCATTAAGTACATTTTATTTTATTTGTGTGTGTGTGCATCTCACTTTATTATTTTTTAAAGTTAATTTTTTTCAATTACAGTTTCCATTCAATATCATTTATAATAGTTTCAGGTGTATGGCATAGTGATTAGACAATCATACTTCATAAAGTGTTTCCTCGATATTTCCAGTACCCATCTGCCCCCATACATAGTTAATAAAATATTGTTGACTATATTCCCCCTGCTGTACTTTACATCCCTATGACTATTTTGTAACTACCAATCTGTGCTTCTCAATCCCTTCACCCTAAAAACATAGTCTTAACATTTATTTATTATTTATTTATTTTTGTCTTCCTTTTTTTTCCCCCCTGGAACTTTAAATTTACTTAGAATTTACTCTGGTGTGTGGCATGAGGTCAAGGTCAAACTCTGTTTTTGTTTTGTCAAATCCAGATGTAGATATGAAGAGACTAATTAGAAAGGAAGACTGCTGCACTAGGGAGAACACTCCCATCTCAGAAATCTGCAAGCAGCTCATAAGCAAACAGGAAAGGGGTCTTTCTTTGACTGCCAGGAGGAGAAGGCACGCCGAGATAAGCAGGATCTATAAAGAGGCTGCACAAATAGGCAATGACCAGTGGGTTCTGACAGGTCAGCTCATTCTTAGGAAAAGCTGAGAAGGGGAGCCCCTTTGACATTTTTTTGTGTTTGCTCAGGCTTGGGGAAAAGCAGAGTTCACAGCCTGTAGGAAAGAGAGAAACCTGACTGAAGTTTAGCTAACAAGCATTTTGTTCCAATTAATCAGTGTTTATGAGGCAAATAATTGGCATTTAAAGGGTCTATATCCAAACTTGTTGTAGGTAAGCAAGAGGGGTACCTGTGAGTCCTATCTACACTGAGTGGCCAGCACATGTCAAATCAAGTGATTGAACTCCTGGTCGAACTCCTGAGGGGACACTTTGCACATTAGCCTTTTATATAGAGAGATTTTGTCTATAGTTCCTTGTCAAAACTACCTACCAATTCTGGTACCTTCCTAGTATAGTCTCTCAGGTTTTCTAATTGTACAATCATATCATCCTGTTAATAAAAGCTTATATGGTCATCACGCCCTCACGCCATGATGCCCTCACACTGCAACCAGCGATCACCAGGAGGCTGTGTGCACAGTGGGTGCATGTGGGTGTATGGGGGCTTGATGCTGCAAGCATAGCACAGAGGCAGGGCCCACAGCTCCACACGGCAAGGCCAGGGATCTCGCTGCTCCATGCAGTGCGGAGGCGAGATCCCAGCTCTGACCTACCTCTTTGGGGCTATCCATTGAGGAGCTCTGGGTGGGTGGGCAGGCATACCTCTTTGGGGCAATCAATTCCTCTTTTGTCTCTTCTATCCAATATTTGATGTGGTTATTTCTCCTATTGTCATTGTATTACTAGTTATCCCATACAGTAGTTACTAAGTTTATGTGCCTTTTTTTTTTTACACTAATTCTATATAACAGCTTGTCTGATAGAGGAGAGAACACTGGAATAGGTTAGACTTTATTGCTATAGCAAGTTATATCTGACTGTTTTAGTAAAAAGGAAAGAGATTTATTCCTTATTAGTATTGCTTGCAATTATGTGATTATTTAAATTTAAAATTATTTAAACTAAAAAAGTTTTAAATTCAGTTTCTTAGTCACCTAGCCACATTTCAAGTGCCCAATAGCCATGTATGGCTAGTGGTGTAACAGTTGTGAATTGTAATCCAGCCTACTATTCTTTTTGACATAGTTTCTGCAAATGCTGACTCTGGCTAATATGTAGCTTGTAGATAAACAATGTACTTGTTTAAGAATCCTAGGAACTTTCTTCAGAAAATGCAGACTCTGACCTTTGGTCATCTCAGTCTTAGATTTGCTGACCTTCAACCATAAAACCAGGATGACGAACACCAGACCATGGCTTGATCAGTTTTGAGATCCTTATCAAAATGGATTGTGTTTGCCTGCACATAGAGAGCTTTTACATCCCCTTCCATTGATTTATTTGTTTTGCTTTCCCTCCCCCTCCTTATAAAATCCTCTACCTATACTGATGTGGGAAGATGGACTTTGGACAAGAATCCTCCATCTTCCCAAGATGCCAGCATTTGATGAAATCTCTTTCCTTTTTACCAGTATCTGTCTCGCAAGTTTGGCTTTCATGAGGTCAGGCAGCCAAACCTTGGTTTCAGGTACAGTGGCTACTGTATTGGGCAGCATTAAACAGAAAACACTTTCATCACTATGGAAAGTTGTATTG